GACTTAACAGTGGAATCAGCATGGCATCCGTCAGGGGTGGCCTAAGGATCAGCTCAGCACGGCAGGGCCAAGCAGCAAGGGAGGGACAACAGATGCAGCCAACATTGGCTACGTTATAAACCCCAATTCCTCCCCCTCCACAGCCAGCAAGGAGGTTACCCCCTTGGAGAGTATTCCTCTAGGGTGGGGATTCTATCCTGGTCAGGGGTGGGTCCAATGCTAGTAAATGCCAGCACCAGTTACACCACCTGGTTCAAGAGCACCATGGGCCCAAGGAGAAGCAGCGATCCCTCCTCAGCAAGGGGATCAGCACAGGCAGCAGGCTCCGGTCACCCCCGCACTTTCCCAGTGATGAGAAAAGTTCAGCAGGCACCCTCTATTCAGCAGGTTCCAGTCCAGCTGCCCCTCGGAGCAACCCTGAAGGGGCTCTTCCTGCAGCATGCCCTAACTGCATGTCAAATCCCACCTCAGCCACCTCTCAGGGTACCCCTGCAGGGGGCCTTCCTGCAGCCGGCCCCATACATTCCAACTCAGCCCGTGGTTGCTATGGCGATGCCGACTAGACTCAGTAACTTTCAAAGCAACTTTTGACAGACAGCATGGAAACTTACTTTCTTACCCGGATCTGGTCACATATAGATCAATTTGGAAACCACTATGCAACAGATCACGACCTAGTTTCCGCAATTACAGATGGGATGAATGAGGGGGACATTTCCGTAGCTCAATTACACTATGAGGATGCCCTGAACTACAAGATGCCAATGCATTTGTTGAACTGCTCAGGGCTAGATTTGAAAACCTTGACAGAATTGGGGAGAGTGAAGGCAAAATAATGGAAATGAAGCAAGGCAAGCAACCCTTAAAATAATTTGTATGGGACTTTAGAAGGGTCACAAGCAACTTCATGAATTGGCCTGACAGAATACTACTGCACTGTTTTAAAAACACTATTGATCCGGAAATCAAAAAAGCATGCAGCATCAGAGGAATACGAGAGACTACAGGACTGGTATTCCATGTTCATGAAGCTGGACAGGGAAATCAACCCACTCTGAAAGCCCCCCTGCTGAAGCTGCTCCTACCCAACCTATAAGGATTATAAAGTGCTATTGATGTGGCCAGACTGGTCATAGGGCAGCCGAATGTCTGGCGCCTGCACCTATTCTTCAACCGAGGCCTAGTACAACAGCCAGAGGCTGAAGAATTCCACGAAAGCCTCCAAATACTAGCCAATTTTCCAGACACGCTGTAGAGGTTCCCCTCCCCACAGAAGAGAGCGAGAAACTTCCAGCCAAAGAAATCCTTCCTGAAAAGGCAGATAGAGGCTTACACTTATTTGTGGATTTTAGGGGCATCAATGTGGTATGCATAAAAAACATGTACCCCCTGCTCATGAAAAAAAATATTAAATCACCTATCAAAAGGTCTTTACCAAGCTAGATCTGAGAGAAGCCTACTACCAAGTTCGCATAAAGGAGGGAGATGAATGGAAAACCACCTTCACCTGCCCTCTGGGTAATTTCCAATTCCGAGTCATGCCTTTCGGACTTTACCCCCCCCCCCCCCTGCAGTATTTATGCAACTCATCAATGAAGTGTTACACCCACACCTGTACAAAGGAGTCCTTGTCTATTTGGCTGACATTCTTATATTCAGCGAAACCATCAAAGAACAGGTCAAATTAGTTAGGCAAGTACTGAAAAAACCTTTAGCCACCAAGTTATATGAAAAGCTGTCAAAATGTGAATTCCATAGTCTTTGGACTACCTGGGCTTCCAAACATCTAACCAAGGGATTGAGATGGACCCAGGAAAGGTAAAGGCGGTGCTAGACTGGCAATCCCCCAAAACATGGAAACAACTCCAAAGCTTTTGGGGTTTTGCAAATTTCTAGACAATTTATTCCTTCATTTGCCAAGGGCGTCCTCCCTTTAACAGAGTTACTGAAAACTGGGCCTTCCCCAACCATACCAAAACTCAATCAACTCCTTACTTGGACAATGAACTCTCAGAACATTAAAACGCCTATTTGCTGCTGAGCCTATCCTCCAGCATCCAGACCAGTCAAAACCTTTTACAGTACAAGCTGATGCCAGTGATGTGGCTGTCGCGGCGATTCTTCTCCAGAAGAACTCTCAAGACCAGCTGATGCCTTGTGCTTATGTGTCAAAAAAGTTGACAGACACAGAGCGTAGATGGGCGGTTTTGGAAAAAGAGGCATTTTTTGTGCGATGGGCTTTACTTACTATGGAGGCATTTCCTGGAAGGATCAAAGGATCCTTTCGAGGTGTGGACTGATCATAAGAAACTCGAGGCTCTAAAGACACCTCAGAAGCTCTCTCATAAACAAGTCCGCTTGTCTCAATACTTGAAGAGATTCAACTTTAACATGAAATATATCCCAGGAAGGGAAAACATTGGTGGACACCCTGTTGAGAAAACCCCAATTTGACAGTCACCAGGAAGAGGTAGTGCAAACTATGATATCAGAAACCCAACCCGCAGGCCAAGTAACTACCCGAGGCCAAGCCAAACACAGCCCCAGACTCCTAGCAGACAAACTGACAACCGATTTGAAAGCAGTAGTTTTAACTGATCCATGGTTTGTTGAACATCAATCTGATTTGACAATGATCAAAGGATTGGCTTGGAAAGGAACCAAGATTTATGTACTCAATACCCTAAGACTGATGATACTGAAACGTAGCCATGACTCGTGATTGGGGGGAACACTTTGGGTTCTTAAAAACCCTACATTTAGTCAGGAAACAGTTCTGGTGGCTAAAAATGAAAACTGATGTCAAAGACTGAAAAGCTGCTCAATTTATGCCACGATGAAACACAGAACTGGAAAAACCCCTGGCCTGCCTCCTTCAACAAGTAGCTGAACCAATGAAGCTGTGGGAAGAAATCGCGATGGACTTTACCATAGAGTTACTGGAGAGCAGAGGAAGTACTGTGATTTGGATTGTTATTGACTTATTCTCTAAGCAAGCCCACTTTACAGCATGTAACGGACTACCTTTGGCTAAGAAACTGGTGAAACTGTTTGTGAAGCATATTTATCGGCTCCATGGAGTGCCTCATAGAGTAATCTCAGATTGAGGTGTACAGTTTACTGCCAAAGTCTGGAGGGAGTTTTTCCCATTGGGTCATCCCAAGGGCTTTCCTCAGAATTCCATCCAGCATGCAACGGGGCAGCAGAGAGAGTGAATGCTATGGTGGAACAATACATTAGATGTTATGTGAATTATCAACAGGAGAACTGGGCAGAACTGTTACCATTTGCAGAAGTTGCTTACAACAAGCAGCACAGGCTTAAGTCCTTTCTAAATCAACACCTGCATGGATTTTGTCCCTATAACGGAGCTTCCTAGGGAACCCCTAACATCCATGTCTTTAACAGAGTGAATGGAATCATTAAAGAAAGTTGGGAGGATATTAAAAAAGCTCTAGCTGAAGCGCTGAGGAATATAAAAAACAAACAGACAAACATAGATCCCTCCAACCACTGTTTAAAGTGGGGGACAAAGTGTTTTTGTCAAATAAATATCTTAAGTTGAAACTTTCTAGTAGAAAGTTGGGCCCTAAATTCTTGGGGGAGTTTTTGAAATCCATTGGGAATCTATATCTAAGATAATCAATCCAGTGACAGTCCAATTAAGTCTCCCTCGGCCGTTGGGGAAAATATACTCAGTATTCCATAGTAGCTTGTTGAAGCCTGCTGTAGGTTCTAATCTAAGGCCAATACCAACAGCTCCCCCCAAACCTCTGGTTGTACAGGATGAGACACATTATGAAATAAAGAAAATCCTCAATTGTGATTGTAGGACTATAACTTTGTCGCTTGTATCCTTACGATTTATATTGACTGTTTCCTAGTATGATTTGATTGCTGATTGTACCCCATTACTATCATTAAGTGTTGTACGTTATGATTCTTAATTCTTAACGAATGTATCTTTTCTTTTATGTATACTAAGAGTATTTACACCAAGACAAATTCCTTGTGTGTCCAATCACACATGGCCAATAAAGTATTCTATGTTCTCTCTATTCTATATTCTATATTACACCAACGACTACTGCAATATTTGGTGCTATGGAAAGACTACCCTTTGTCAGAAGCTAACTTGGATGAAAAGTTGGGATATAAATTCAGATAGTTTGGTTAAACAATTCCATGAACAATTCCTTGACAAGCCAAAGGGTCCCCTGGGGGAGGGGTGGAAGAGGAGGTTAAGGGCACTGCATTAACCCCTGGTTGTGTTTTGTTTATTGTATTTTTCAGGATATGATTTTTTTAAGGGGGGGCCACCTGTCAGCTTTGGAAGCTATATTGAGATCCGATGCTCCCACACTGCCACAATTGAGCCTGGGAAAGGGGGAGGGGAGAATTCATTGGAGTATATCTAGTCAGACATAATCCTTTTTCTGATTCAAGGTCAGGTCGTGTTGCTCATAGTGAAAGTAAGTCTTACTTTGAGACGGATGGTGATTGGGCATGTGATATGGTGATGGGTGTAGGGGATGCATTTGTAGTTTTTACTTATTGCAAGGAAGCCTGGAACTTTGATGTGCCATTTACTATCCAAATAAAAAAAGACTTTGGAGAGATGTCTGTCTCGGAGTTATTGGTTGGAATGGAGGTTTGTTGAAACACTGACACTTAGTGATGTTGACCCACTTAGTGACGGTAATTCACTTAGCACTGGTGTCAGCGTTCACGGAGGAGAAGTTGAAAAAGAACAAGAAAAGGAGTCAAGAATAGATAATGACTCAAATACAAAGCTAGAGATGGTTGAAACACAGGAGCAGTCAATGCCACACAGGTCAGAGTGATGGAACAAAGGGATTCCATGTGACAGGTATTCAGCTAGTGAAGTAAAGGTGTATAATGTGTGGTATGAGCCAAGGAACTATAAGTATTGGCATTACCCAAAATTGAACAAGTAAAGTGGAAAGAAGCCATGTAGAAAGAAATGAAATCCATGGGTAAACTAAGGTGTTCACATCTATGACTTTGCCACACAGTTGCAAAGCCATAGGATGTAAATGAGTATACAAAAAGAAAGTACTACCCAACAATGAGGTCCAATATAAAGCAAGATTAATAGCACAAGGTTTTTCACAAAAGAAAAATATGCACTATGATGAAAAGTTGGGATGATGAAAAGTCTATGATGAAAAGTCTCACCAACTGTGAAGAGTGAAAGCATAAGGTTGGCACTAGTGTTGGCAGTGGCACATGACCATAAAATTTGGCATTTTGATATAACCACAGCATTCCTCAATGAAGAATTAAAGGAAGAAATTTACATGGTTCAAGCACCAGGATATGAAAGTAAAAAGCCTAACACTGTGTATAAATTGAACAAGGCCATTTATGGGCTCAAGCAGTCAGTCAGGAATTGGACTATCTGTTTAGATACAGCATTGAAGGGTCCTGGGTTCAACAGTTGTAAGGCTGATGGTTGCATATATACTGGAAAGTTACAAAGTGGGGATTGTCATTTGTTAGCATTTGTGGGTGATCTTTGTTTTATTGCAAAAGATGTGTCATAAAAAAAAGAATTTGCTAATCAATTAGAGAAAAAATTTGAAATAAAAGATTTAGGTGAAATACAAAATTATCTCAGTATGGAGACACAAAAAAACTGAGAAAGGAGCAGAGGTGGTATTCAGCAGGTTCTGACTAGTTCTGGAGAACCGGTAGCAGAAATTTTGAACAGTTCAGAGAACCAGCAAATACCAGCTCTGACTGGCCCCGCCCCATCTATTCTCTGCCTCCCGAGTCCCAGTTGATTGGCTCGGTCTTCTTTTATAGCCCTGCACAGGAGAACTGGAAATTAGAACTGGAAAGTAGGTTAGTGGGATGGGGAGGAAATGAGGATTTTGCAGTATCCTTTCCCTGCCACACCCACCAAGCCATTCCCACCAAGCCACGCCCACAGAACCGGTAGTAAAAAAAAATTGAATCCCACCATTGGAAAGGTGGTTATGTTCTCAGTTAAAGAAGGAAAACTGAATAGCTGTTGGAGAGATACAACATGAATTATTGTAATTCTGCTCCAACATCTATGAGTTTTCATAAGTTCGAGTGAGGACAAAAGTGAAGCCTGTGATCGAGATATATCAGCCAGCAATAGGTAGTCTGTTACATTTGTCACAGTGGTCCAGATCAGACATAGCTTGTGCAGTAAGCATCCTAAGTCGCTTTACTGCTGCACCAAAGCAATTGCATTGGATGGGTATAAAAAAGGATTCTCAGGTATTTGAAGGGAACTGTGCACTTGGGTCTTCAAATACAGGCCTCTGAAGAACTGAAATTGAAATGTTATGTTGACAGTGATTATGCTAATAATGTAAAAACCAGAAAATCTAATTCTGGGATTGTGATATTGTTTGGAGGGGCTTTGATAGGTTGGAAGTCCAGAAAGCAAACAATTGTAACCATTTCTACTGTGGAGGCAGAATTTACAGCTCTATCTGAACTTTGTTCAGAGTAACTTGGTAGTACAGCTGCTACAGTATTTAAACGTAAAGGTAAATGACGCTGTAACAGTGTTTGAAGATAATGCTGCTTGCATTAAAATGGCAGCAGGTGACAGAGTAAAGAATAGAAGCAAGCATGTGGATATTAACTATTGTAATGTCAGAGAAGCCATCAAATGTAAATTAATTAGCTTGCTTCACTGTTCTTCAGAGGACAATTTGGCAGATGTAATGACAAAGCCATTGGGTGGAGTGCACCATGGGAAGAATATTAAGTTATTCGGTTTTATGTCTATTCCAGTCATGAAGGGAGGAGTGTCAGTGTATAAGAGTTTATGAATTGGAATAGACATGGTAACAATGGGGACTGTTTGGTGACCCAAACATTTCAGAGCCTGGGCATGGCTTGGCTTGACTGATTTATATATAAGAGTTGCTCTGTCCTTGCAATATTGCCTCTGTATTATATTGCTTCTGTGTTTATATAGCTTCTGTGTTTCTGTGCTTCAGTGCTGGTGGTTCTGATTGCTTCTGCTTCTTGTACTTGCTACCACGTTGCAAAAACTGCATGGGTATTGTATACATGCATCAGGTTTTATTATTGTATATAAACAAGTTTCTTCTATAAATGAATCTTGCTGAATTATTTACTTGTGTGCTGGTTGGATTGCTGCAAACTCTGACAGAAAAGCAAAGATATAAAGAAAGTGATGAATGGAATCACTAAATAGGGTGTGAGATGAGCCTGAAGAAATGAAATGAAGAAAGTCAGAATGGTAGCATAAACAAATAAGCACTAACTCTTCACCTCCAACTCCTATTTTGTCTCAAGCATAAATCTAACTGATATTAAGAATGAAAAATATATTTTAAGTATCTGGCTGACCAACCCCACAGTGGGATACAAGGTTCTGTCTTAAGCCCAGTACTCTTCAATATCTCCATAAATGATTTAGATAAAGAGGACAGAAGGGTAACTCATCAAATTTGCAAACGACAACAAGGTGGGGAAATAGTCTTCACTTTAGAAGATAGGCTCAAGGTCCAGAAGGATCTTGACAACATTTGAACACTTGGAATACACTTGGAATCTAAGAAGCGACTAGACAGCTACTTGCCTGAAATGGTCTCCTGCTCAAGCACATAAGCTCTATGTTCTAATGCATCCAGTTTTGACCACAATAATAAAAACATTTTACACCCTTCAGTGATTCCTGTCTGGCCTGTGTCATCATTGGGGTATCAGCTCAGCACTGGGGGGGGGGGGGTGTTGGCAGAGGACAGGGCATCAGCAGGGGGCAGGGTGGTGGCATTCTGCACAATCCCAGTATCTCACATGGCCCCTTGGAAAAATTAACTGCCCATCCTTGCTCTAGAAAAAGTGCAGAGATGAGCAACAAAAGTGAGTAGCAACAGGAGACTAAAATATATGAAGAACACTTGCAGGAATCTTGTAAGAATGAACAGATAAGGAAACTTAAAAATAGCTTTTACTACAACAAAGGACCTTAGGTGGCATTATATCTGGCACTATATCTGTCTAATCTAGGGGTGTCAAATTCAATTTCATTGAGGACCGCATCAGCATTGTGGTTGCCCTCAAAGAACAATAGCCATGTCGCCATGACTAGGTGAGCGTAGGTGGCTTGATGCTGCTCACTGGGCGCAGATTACTCGGGATGGCTGAGTCGGGATGGAACAAGCCACACCGGCTAACCTGATGTGGGGACAATTCGGTGCCCCACAAGCTCCTCATCTCCCCAAACTGCAGCCCTGGTAACAGCAAGGGGTCGCCCTTGCTGCCTCAGCCCCAACCCCTGGGCACACGCACAGAAGGTGGATGGAGCATAAGGCTTAGAATTCCCATCTTGCGCTACAGACTGACCACATTCTGAGCACTTCCCTTCCCCATGTGCTCGCCACCTTCTATGCGCATGCCTCTGGGGTGGATCAGCCCCTCATCTGCAGGGCAGCCCCGTTGGTCAGATCTAACCAATCACAGGCCAGATCTGGTCCGCGGACCTTGTATTTGACATGTCTAGTCTAGTCTAACAAAAAGAACTAGGATGACATGATAGCAGTCTTTCAATATTTGAGGGGCTATCACAGAGAACAGGGGATTGACCTGCAAAGCACCTGAGTGTAGAACAAAAAGTAATAGATGGAAGTTTATTAAAGATATCAGACAATTAATTAACAATTAAGAAGAAATGCCCTGTCAGTCAGAACAATTAATTGGTGGAATGGCTTACCTCCAGAAGTTGTGGATACTCTTATCACTGGATATTTTTAAGAAGAGATTGGAAAACAACAAGAGATTGGAATGATATAGGGTCTCCTGACTGAGCAGAGGGTTAGACTAGAAGACCTCCAAGGTCCCTTCAAACCCTATTATTCTGTACAGGTAGTCCTCAACTTATGACCACAATTGAGCTCAAAATTTCTGTTGCTAAGCAAGACAATTGTAAAATTGCCCAATTTTACATTTTTTTTGCCTCAGTTGTTAAATGAATAATTGCAGTGTTGAGTCAGTAACACAGCTGTAAAGTGAATCTGGCTTCTTCATTGATTTTGCTTGTCATAAAGTCGCAAAAGGTGGTCACATGACCCTGGGCCACTACAACCATCATAAATATGAACCACTACAACCAACCATAAATATGTTGCCAATTTTGATCACATGACCATGGGAATGCTGCAATGGTCATAAGTGTGAAAAAGTCATACATCACTCTTTTTCAGTGCCATTATAAATTCAAATGAACCCCTGTAAGTTGAGGATTACCTGTACTCTGTATTTTTATATCTCGTGATGCATAAAATTAACCCTCCATTAATTTTTCAAAGCTTGCATATATTCCCCTTTCCCTCCCCAAAATGCTTATGAACTTAGGTTTAGTTTGAATCCTGAAATATGCAGATTTATATGCAGTTCATAAAGCCCTACCTTTTGCTCTAAGGGAAGACACAGAAAGTTTCTCTCCTTCAGGCTTCATTATAGGTGGCCTATTGTGAACAAGTTTCCACCATCCTGGTTCTCCAAATTCCTGAGCCCCTGAGCAAAAATACAGAGGGCTTCCCACAGAAAGGCAACCAGCAACAGTGCTCCACCATGTAGATGTCTTCTTTCTAAATAATTAGAAGGGAATAAGGAATTTAGCATTATGATTTTTAGATAACACCTTTAACATTTATACCAACATTTAATAATGCAAAGCTCTATAAACTACAGGCATTATTCAATATTCTTGTTTAATGACCACTCATTCAACAACCTTTCAAAGTCATGATGGTACTAAACAAGTGGTATTCACAACCGGTCTCAAAGTTCCAATTGCCCCAGGATCCCTGTAGCCATGTGATTGCAATTTGGGTGCTTGGCAACTATTTGCAACCTTCCTTGCTGGCTTCTCACACAGTCAATGTGGAAGCTTGAAAGGAAGTTTGCAAGTTGCTTTTGTGAGTTGTTTGCACCCTTGCAGCTCTTTCTCCTGAGGAGTTTGGCTCTGGTGTGTACAAGATCCCAGGGAATCATTCCCAGGGATCTTGTACTCCATAGCACTTGTGCCCATCTAGTGCCAGCCACCTGCATATCCTCACCTGGTAGCAGCTACCCCTGGCCCCGCCATACATCGTAATTCAGTAGTCACTTACCTATCCACTAGATGCTTGTGGGCTGCCTTGGACTTGTAACTTCCTGCCAGTTTCCCTGCTGATTTTGCTTATTGGCAGCCAGCAAGCAGTTGTCAACATTCCCTGCTTAATGACAGCAATAGGGACTGCAGGGTTTGCCATGACTAAGCAATGCAGTCATGTGAGATCACACTTTATGACAGCAGTGATTAGCAACAGAAATTCCAATCATTAACCAATTGTAACAGCTAATCTTGTTGTCCTCCAGTTCATAAGTACCTTCAGATCAAAATTAGCATGTGAAGTTAACTTCTGTTGTAAAGTATAGTATTTTTAACATGTCAATTAGATGAAATCACTGATTTCTGCTTTAAAGGACACACAAGAATCCAAAAGATAGTAAAAATGTTTTCCTGAATTCTCTAATTTTAAAT